ACAATCTTCGTCTGCCCAATCACTGGTGTCTTAGATTGTTTACTCTGGTATTCTTCAAACAGTTTCTTCATGCTCTGGCCACCGCAGAGGAGAATCAACGGTGCCCTATCTGTTGCATCGAGCAGGGTGGATAGGGGTTTGGATGCTATTGCTCAAGCCTCCCCATCTACTTAATCCCCCACTTACGCTTTTTCTCTCTTACCTTCCCGTTCCAGGTTCACTTTTATCTCCACTGTTTTCCACCCCCCAGTTTTTGACCCTCCCCACCTTACTTTGCTAAGCTTTTGCCTTCTAGTTTCAATTCACATGTAAACGCGGAGCGACATTCCTGTACTGTCGTCAAGCCCATGTACGACCAAGCGGCCAAGCTCACTTCTTCGACTTCCATTTGGTACCCTCGATCATCATTCAGATTGGCATGCCTCAGTGTATGCACACTGCTAAAGATCGGACAACAGGCAGCACTTGCCTGAACATTAGAGACCCTCTCGATCGATATCTGCTGCTTATCGGAGACCCGCCTGCAAGACTCGAGCTCTGTGCTCACTTCGCGATCAACTTCAGGTGACACCAGCAGCACTTTCTCATTGCGCCTATTCGGTGACCATACAGCTTCGAGCACCGGCCAAGCCGGTGTTGGTATTGCCCTGAGTCCCCGGATTGAATCTCCTCTAGTTGCTTCCAATCAGTAGCCGGATGTGTGTGGTCCGATTGGCTGGCTCGTTCAAAGCTTCGAAGTCGCGTGTGACTAACAGGCGTCTATTCGTCATAGCTGCCTATGCAACCACAAACTGTAGCGATGATTTGGTAAAAGACGACTTCTATCGCCAATTGAAAGAGCTCCCTAGTCACAGAAGAAGTTCGGACACTGTAGTGCTGGCTGGGGATCTGAACGCTCAAGTTAGAAAGTTGTCCACTGAAGAACTGCATCTGGGCGGCCAACATGGTATAATGGTGAGCAGTTACTTCACTTGTGTGAAGATGCTCGCTTATTTCTTGCGAGCACTAATTTCCGACACAGCACCCGCCGGAGGGTGACTTGGCGCCCACCAGCCTCGAACCAGCTATGGGCGCAAATCGGTCACATTGCGATAAGTTACCGATGGAGAGGCTGCATCTAGAACTGTCGCTCGATTTGGAGCACAGGTGTGGACACCGACCATGCACTTGTATGTGCTGACCTGCGGATGCGCTTTCGCGGACGCCCACGACGACGTTGTGAGCACATTGACACCAGCCAACTGACGAAGCCACCTGTTGTGAATGCGTATCAAAGTACGCTGTCATGCGAGTTGGATAAACGCTCACTGGATGCAATTGAAGCTCACTGGTCTCATGTTCACCAGACCTTACTAGCACCAAGAAAACCCTCATGTTGTATGTCTAATCGCCAACATGGATATTGGTTCTTTTCATAGTCTCTGCAATTTATCGATGCTTGCCGGCATATTCCGGCTGGAAGCGAACACAACGAAACTCACAAAGAGCTTCGGACAAAACTCCGTGCTAGCCTGAAGAGAGACCGCGAATCTTGGTGGTCTTATCGTGCATCAGAGATGGAAATGGCTGCTGCCCTTGGTAACCATCGTAAGTTATTCCACTTGATACGGGAAACGGGCAGCAGGAGACCTGGTGTTAGTGAAACTATACGTGACGAGAGTGGACAGTCTATCCACAACTTGTCAAAACGTTTGGAACGTTGTGCTGAACACTTGAGAAAGCAATTTAATCGGTCGGAATTGTTAGATTACTCACCGGCCACTGATCGCCCCGCTCTCTGGGTTGTCCCTTTGGATCCACACTCTCGCACAAAAGTCGTACGTGAGATCGCAACTTTGTAGTTAAGTAGAGCCGCGGAACCAGATGATCATCCCCATGTCCTCTTCAAATTCGGAGGACCTGCTCTTGTGGATAATTTACACGAATTGCTAGTTAAACTGGGGGAGCATGAAATTGTGCCAACCAACTGGAGCCGCTCCGTGATAGTCCCAATTTTCAAGGGAGGCTCACGATCGGAATGCGGCAGCCATAGAGGAATCAGTCTGATCTCCATCGCCTCCCAATTACTCATCCTTCACAGACTGATTGCCATTTCTGAAAGCTATATTTGTGAAGAGCAAGCCGGGTTTCGTCGAGGTCGTGGCTGCATTGACCACATATTCACTTTGCGTCAGTTGTTGGAGCACCGTCACACATATTGGCGGCCCACCGTTGTCGTGTTCCTCGATATCAAAGGTGCATTCGATTCTGTGGATAGACATGCACTTTGGGACTGCCTACTCAGGAATGGTGTACCTGAGAAACATGTGAATATTATCCGAGCATTATATGCGCGTAGCTCGGGCAGAGTGAGGGCTTACGAAAAGCTGTCGTCGCCCTTTAATATCTTCAGCGATGTGAGATAAGGATGCCCGCTGTCACCTTCCCACATCAACCTCGCTGTTGACGAAGTCATGGAAATCGCGTTCACAGGACACGACGTAGAAGATGTGGATCTGCTCCCAGGTGAACGACTTCTTGACTTGGAGTATGCAGACTATATTGCCCTAATCTGTGACAGCTCACAAACGTGTCAAGCGGCAATGGACAGATTAGCACTATCTGTCCGTCACTTCGGGCTTTGATTGCACCCTCGAAGTGCAAAGCGTTCCTCCAAGATTGGCGTGGACCGCTTCATTCGCTGACCCTTGGTGGAGATCAGCTAGACGTCGTTCAAAAATCCAACTGCTAGGGAAGCTGTATCAGCGCCCGTAGGATTGAAGATGAAAGCACGAACCGCGTAGCGAATGCTCGAGGCGCATTTGCTAACCTTCGCCACTTATGGCACCGGCGCCCTCGCCCTGAAGGGTAGAGTGTACAATGTAGCGCTACGTTCGACCTTACTGTACGGTCGTGAAACCTGGAACCTTAGATCAGCGGACATAGAGAGGCTAGTTACTTTCGACCATAGGTGCGTTCGCAATTTAGCTCACATCTGGTGGGAATACCGCGTGAGCAACGAGCATGTTCGATGCCTTGTTTACGGCACAGGAAAAGGAAATGAACCGCTCAGCACCGTTATTTCACGCACCAGGCTCCGATGGCTCGGCCACGCGTTACGCATGCCAGCCCACCGACTTCAGTGACGTGCGTTGTTTGCGCGCCGGGGGTGTGGATGGAAGAAGAGGAGGGGTGGCCAAGCGATGACTCGGTCGAGAGGAATGAAGGCCCTCACTTCTGAGCTGGCCTCGGTTGGAGCGTCTCGGCTTTCTGGTTGGGGTCCGAAAGACGATGAGCACGTTTGGCTGGATACACTTGCTAATATGGCTAGGATCCGACATCAGTGGCGTTCGTGCGCTGAGTTTCTTTGTCCCAACTCATCCCTCTTAGACTCCCCATCCAGCCACGATCTCATTATTTAACATTTTATAATTTTGCATAGGAAATTACTTTTTTGCTGCATAGTAGCCGACGAGTACCTTACCGGAACGATGCACATCCGTTACCGTAGCTCATCTGGTTTGCACCTGTAACATATTATTCCCTTCTTTTCTTTTAGGTATTGCGGCACAGTAGCTGAGGTCTTTCCCACGTCCAGTTAATGTGTATATTTTGTGTGACTATGGCCTACAACCTCAAACCAAACTCGCCCGCCTGAAGTATCCATCACGTGGTTAGATGAACTAGCTTTAAGACTTCAACTGTTCCTTCCATTGTTTATGCAAGCTACTTGGATGCACTTTGATGGCTTGACGAATTCATCGATGTTTGTGGTGCGATGGTAATCGCGCTGTAATTCACCCCACTACACGCCGCACCTTGAAAATTGATGCTCCCTTCAGTAACTTACCCGTATGGGCGCCACACTTAATCACGACAATCGCACGAGCTTCACTAGCACTACCATCGCTTTAGGTATAGTTGCCTAGTAAATCTGTTTTATAGGTCTGAGTTTGACTCTTCTGAGACCCATCTTCAAGTTCGGATCCACCTTGGGCTTCCTCAAAGGCAGAACTAGTTGTTTTGTTAATAAGATTAAGACCTTTGTAACCCCCGCATTAAATTGGTGGGCTTGGTAATGAATGACTATGGACATGCCTCACAATATAAGGGGCTCACTCTCCATTATCTCAGGCTTCATAAAATCTGACGCACACACTTCCTGAGAATTACTCAGAAGGGCCATCTTGTAGAACACATTGCGATGGCAGTTGATTTTAAAATTAACGAATCTTTTCAAAAGGCTTGGCAAACGACAAGTTGGTTTATTACTCGTAAGTAGTAGGATTTTAGAGTATTTGTTATGCTGTACAAAGTTTAGCTTTTGATTCAAAAGCTTCAGCAGGCGAAGTGAATTAGCTTAAAAGTGATTGGCATTTTAAAACAATCACGTGCAAGCTACATACGTGGGTTGATAAACTTTTAGTCTACTGGTAAAATGCTACAGTGGTACAAGATTATTAGGTCCACGTGAAATCCGTGGGTCTCGGTTGAGGTCAAATTTTAACAAAATATGCCGGTCAGAGGGTAGTTACAGACATGGTCGGCAATCTGAAGTGGTCCTTTGGAATGAACTTGGTTCCTGATAGAACCTGTCTTCGATACTTAGGGATTTTGTGGAAGGGTGTTGATTGTCCAGTCTGACCTTTTGTAAAGGATCGTGTTTACAATGCCACTGTTAGGGCCGGATTGCCACATGGAAGCGCGTCATGGCCAGTTCGCGTAGACGACATGGACCGGCTCTTGGCGAGTATAGCTATGTGAAAGAAACTATACTCAACAGGTTTTTAGTGCCAATCCATACTAATTTGTAAGTCGAACGCGGGCGTGTTTTGCATGAACCAGTGAGCATCTATCGATCTGAGAATTTGAATGAACAAATAAGGTCAAACCACATGCAAACGGATTCTCACGGCGCGATTGCCTTCGATAACGATGACATATACAACGAGTGCGCCTCGTACGCCATCAACCACCGAGACGCACTGGGATACTGTCAAGTCCTCGCGACTTCCGGACTTATGGCGAGTATTGTGCTATTGCCTACCATGCTTTTCGCCCTTATTTTTGGCATCGTTCTCATGACCAGATTGAAACACGGATTGAAATGGTATGCAAACCAAAAGATGCATGCCATTGTGAATTGTGCTGTCGATTTGTGGTTCTACATTTGCATCGGGACACTGCAACTGGTTATGTGTCGCGGTTTGCCTTGGTTAGGCTTCTCTGGAGTCTGTGTGCATCAACACGGTGATGTTGAATGTAAAACCATCAGATTTCTCAGATCTACGGCTACCAGTAGCTTAACCACGTTCCTTTTACTAACCACACTTAATCGAACTCTCATTGTTCACTACTGCGGTCAGTTTCCACCATCAGCCTCGAAAACTATGACGTTTATTTGCATTTTGATTTCGGTCATACTCGCTATCCCTGATTTAGCGGTGATGGGCCTATGGCGGTTAGATGGCCGATTATTTTGTGGCACGGAAGCTAATCTACCGAGATTGGTAATACTCGCAGTCGAATTGCACAGGTTCCTCTTGGTTGACGGTTTCTTTCAATGCATTTTGACAACCGTTGTCTTGATTCTTCTGTGCAAAAGCGTTCGACGTCTGGACAATACCATCAACCTCCTGTATGCCTCGTCCGCAACGAAAGAGAATATCTCCGAGGTTGCTTTCGAAATTTGTGAGGTGTTGCGAAACATACGTCGCGGAAGTCGGTTTGTGTTGCGAAGATCAAGTATCCTATCCGCGCTATTCGCCGTGCGGGCATTGCTCGGAGGCATTGTCAGCATGGAATTGTATTACTTTCAAAGGGCAAAGCGAACACAAGCGCGTTTAATATTGTACACCCTCCTGGGAATACAGGATATCGTCAGTGTCACTATACTCATAGTCACCTCGTTCGATTATTGGTTCTTTTACTATCACTACCCTACAGTACGCAGTTCAAATGACACCAATGCAAATGGGGAATGGAATAACCACAAGTACATTATGCCGCCTTACCCCGATCCGCATAGCATACTTGATCGATGGAAACATCTTTTGGAGTTTGTGAAAAAGTTTGATCTTGGATTATATCATCAGTTGGTCTCGTTACGTGTTATGATCGAAGAGGTGGCCGCACAGCGATTGAATCGGTACACACAAAGATTGAACGAGTGAGCCGCGCGTTCATTTGGTATCGTCGCACCAATTGTAACTGAATTTGTGACACCAGATATTTCACTCTGTCATAATTAACTGCCTATGTATGTAACGCACCTTTTGACAGTGACTTGTCGATCTCACACTCAACGTTATCTGCACGAGGCGAAGCAAAGTCTTTGATGAATAACCTCACTTGTGCTACGAAGCTATTGTAGGGTGATTATATGTTTCAGGAATATTGTAGGCAGAGAACAATTATGCAATCTGTCTCATATTTTAATACTCACCAATAAAAAAGGAAGCCAAAGAATGGCATCCAGGGTGTTGTTATCTTCCGTTGGAAAGTTCAGCATAACGTTCTCCAGTAACTACGTGGTGGTATCCGCTTTGCTCACTGCAGCTGCTTTTAGAGAAAAGAGTTGCTAACAGTCTGTCAGTATCCGCAAACTGCACATCATCCACAGATCTATTAATATCACATATAGTACTACCCAGACGGAATTAGTGGTAACTCCGATACCATCCACAGATCTACATAGAGGCCGCTCAGGTTCTCAGCCTACCATTGCCACAGATAGCACAAGCCTAGATAACATGATCAGCATCAGCGCCACATAGGATGCACCCTGGAAGCTAATGAATAGCAAGAAAATTCGTAGCTCCGTTGACACGTGTTGCAGCTTTAACAACACCAACCAAGCCACTTCCACTAACTTTACCGAGCTAAGGAAGTCGACACTTCAAAGTACACTAATCGTTTAACATACCTGATACTTTTCCAGCAGACGGATTATTAAAAAGTCTCACGGTATACGCCAATTTCAAAAAGTGATATTATCGGCAATCAGGCTAACACAAAGACGAGCCGATTATCCCCGCCCTATGGAACTCTTTCTTTCTGGTTCGTCTGCCGTGAAATAATGGTTTAATCAGTGCGCTCGACTCCGCCGATTGACACCGTATAAGAACCTAACATTTAGACATTCACCTATAGCTCGATGGGCAAACCGACTATATTTGCTAACATACCACCTATCACAAGTCTGAGCGAGGTGGCTGCAAATAGTGTCCCAAACTACATTCAACCATTTGAACAAAAATACCAAGCTCATTTTGTAGGTTTATCGGCAGCCACACGACCGAAAACCCTAACGAATCAGCATGCGTTGCAATTCTTCCAATAGATCACCAACTTAGCTCAAATACGCCTGAAGCCAGCGGCTGTAATTCGTTGAGTTTCTCCACTCCATGGGATGATGCCCATTGTCCAACCATATACAAACAGTCAGTAAACGTGCAAACGCAATACGAATATGTTAGATTACTTCTCTTAAATGCTCGGTCTCTCAACAACAAAATGTACCACTTACGTTCTTTACTGTCTCTCTCCTGTCCTGACATCGTACTTGTCACGGAGACTTGGGTAAACGACCATACTTCTGATACGCACTTTTACATCCCAAACTTTCGCAGTTTTAACAGTAATCGCATATACCGCCGTGGTGACGGTTGCTGCATATATGTGGACAGTAAACATAGTACATCTTCTATGTGCGACCCACTTCTAGATGGCCTTGCTCACTCAGTTTGGATTAACATTCAAATAGAAGACAAGACCATCCTTGTTGGTTTCATGTACAACCGAGCCCACTGTCGTAAATCGGATATCGATCACCACGTGGAAGCCTTTTCCTATGCCTCTGAGCAGCCGGCAACACGAAAAATTATTGGAGGAGACTTTATATGTCTGGAATTGCCGGGCATCCACCACGGTCCCCATTAAAAGACCTGCCTTTTGTTTAAGCAATCCATACATTTTTTGGATTCAACAAAGTTCATGTCCAACAAGAGGTGAACACTTCCTAGTCCTAATCTTTACAAAAGACATAAGTTAGAAGCAAACGCATCCTCCCCACTCTTTCTGGGAGTGACCTCAAGATAGCAGAGATCAGCCACGAAGGAATCGACTACAAACATGACGCATTCAACAAGCTTATAAGTTTTCGTGACTATCACGTGACTAACTGGAAACACGGCAATCAACTTGCCATCTCTAGACTGAGATGACTATTTCCTCTCTCAGGAACCTCAACATGCAGCTGACGTGTGATACAAAAATGTAACCTGGTGTCCAGATATTTTCTGCCCGCTGCCTCACAGGTGTAGTTCACACAAAACGGGTCAAACCATCTAATACGAAAGCTGAAGAAGCTACGACATAGACTTAAAAAGATTAACATTTTCAGTCTGTTATTCAGCAAAACCAAATAATGTCATCTTTAGAAACAAATTAGTCTTCAAAACTTCTCAAAAACGAGACCAATGCATTAGTCGCCTGCCACAAACCAAAGAAAATGACTAGACTATTCAAGTCAGGATCAACTTTGAGCATGGTATACCACCTTCCATTATACAGTCCGACAACAGCCATTCTGCAAAACCAGCTCAGATGTGTGAGGATTTCATTGAATATTGCTCACGGTTTTTCCCAGAGCCGTTCATAGTACCGATGGTAAACATCCATGCTAAAAGTGCAGATTACAACTGTACTGTTGAATTTGAGCAATCGGACATAAGAACTTTGCTAAACTCAATGTGAACGCGTTTTTATCCTGGCCAGATGGAATACCGTTTGCTGTGCTTAGATTCGGAGACCATTATGTCCCTATACAGCTTCAAAAGACTTTTACCTTACCCATGAAGTCTGCTATTGTTCCAAATGTTTACGCTGGTTTCACCACGATATAAAATTGGTCATGTCAAATACAGAAGTGCTATCGGCCCATTAAATAAATAAATAAATAAATAAATGGTATATCCCTCGGTGATTCGAGGTGCAGTCCAACTATGTGGTCTGATCAATGTGTACAACAGGATCGCAAAAGAATAATCAATTTGTTCACGCTTTTTACAATGGAACCAAAGCAGGTACTAAACTAATTGGCAGGATTAAGGCATTAAAGAAATTAAAAACCAGGAACAATAACGTAAGCAGATTTAAACAGATGTCCAGTTAAAGTAATACGGCCACTCGTGGAACCATCCCCAGGGGACCTGCTTCCATGCAAGGTATTCCCTCGAAAGGTTTCGCTCGCACTTCCATGCAATAACTGGCCGTGTGCCGGTGTGGCATAGTAGCATATGAGCCATCACCTGTATATCATATGTTTTGTTCATTTTAGAGCTGCTTTTGAACATGTATTATGGGCCATGAAGGCTCAGCTCAGTCCGTCATGCGGATCATTCTATTATGGCACTTTTTTATACGCCAGTCAGTTGGTGGTAATTTGCTTTGCATAGGTAACGTCTTTTATGATCTGGAAGCTGTAATCCGTCACCACAGGAGATCAGCCCAGTCGTGGCCAACTATGAAATAAGGAAGAATATAGAAAAGAGGAATTATGTGAAAACTATATCGTTAATGTAAAAAATAGGCAGGTATGTTTTTTTCACATCGACGTAGAAATAGATCGAGCCGATCATACGATAAATTGTGTGGCGTGACAGCCGGAGACGGATGACTGTACGAGTAGTCCATAGGCAAAAGTCGCATAGGGAATCAGTTATTGCCATCACTGAATTCAAGTATATGTTTCTGGACTGTTAACTTCAGAAAAGAAAGGGAAATGATTAGCACTGGAGAACAAATATAGGACAAGGGATCGCAGAATAATATTACGAATCAATCAATTTGTGGGAAAAAGTACGGAAAAAGTTCCCGGCCCCACACCAGTAAATAATTTTGTTCTCGGTTTTAAACAGAAGACATTTGGTATGAATTAAGTTTAAAGGGAGTAAAACCGCATGAGAGGTAGCGTTAAGGAATAGCATAAGAAGCGGTTTGTAGCAGCTCATCCTAGCTGATCAAGTTTTCTCTGGTGCAGTAAATAAATAAATAAATAAATAAATGATATATTTCTCGACATGCGAGACACAGGCAGACTACGAGCCTGATCATGTGGTACAACAAAGTCGGGTAGTGCACAAATAAAAGTGGGTGGACGTACAGTAACGTGAAATGCTAGATTTTTGTCCGACGTTGTTCGATTCAGATTGTACAAGTTTCACTGGTAACTGACAACCTCAGGAATATACATGTTTTTTACAGAAAAGGAGAAGAATTTTCGGAGGAAATAGTAAGATAGCTCCAGCAGTTGTCGGAGATCAAAATGGGAAAATTTGTGATGCGAAATAATTTTGTATGGTACTGGGAAATGTTGTATGTACGCATGGTATTTTTCAGGGAGGGAGAGAAGACTGTACGCAAAGTAAAGTAAGTTAACCGTCGTTCCAACTGTTCAGCTGTGTGCGGTAAGAGGAGAAGCTGATTTCGATGAGGGGATTTGTTCAGAGTGAACGTAAGCGTGGAAGATCATGGTAGGTTTTCGGAAGGTGTTTCAAATGGATTCAGTCCAGAAGCAGAAGGATTAAATCAACATTGATTTCGCTGAGCACGTAACACAGCAGCTCGTACCTAGGGGAGGGGTCCAGGGGAAAAGATAAGTAGAAGATAATTAGCATTGCAGAACAAACGCAAAATAATTTGCTCGAGAGGAACTCTAGGGCACATTTCCGTCTTGGTGAGTGTGAACTTCATTGTTAATCAGGATATTTTGCCTTTAGAAAACACGTTATTGCTACTGATAAATTTGGGGAGGGCAGTAAGATCGGGCAACAGGAGAATAAAAAGATCCCCTGATATTGATACTATATCCATCTTGCTCCTATTTCGTATGGGGATTCACTTGTCAAGGTAGGTTGCAATATACCGATCGCTGTTTCGACGTTTAGAAAGGAATGTATAACGTGTCGGAACTTCATCCCTGACTGGATTGCACGTATCTCAGATGGAAGCCTGTTCCACAATATGGAGTATCGATTTAGGAAAAAGTTGTCAGACAGTTTCGTTCGTGATCTTTTCACTTTTACTTTATTGTGATTGTTATTTCGGGTGCGATAATTTGATAATTCTGCTCGTTGTACCGATGGGCGTGAAGAATGTATTTTTTGGGTAATTGTGTCAAAGAAGATGAAAAGGTTAAGTTTCATTCTTCGCAGCCACAGTGGATCAAGTTTTAAGGCAACGCAACGATCCATGTAAGATAGGGTGGTGGAATAGCCTAGAAGACGCTTAGTAAATGATCGTTGAACACGTTCCAATGCCATACGATCACTCACTCTAGAATTACAGTAGGTGATGGAGCCATATTCAAGCAGCGGGCGCGTTTTTATTCTATACATGGTGTTAATGGATTCTTTTAAGTTAAATGTTTTGAACAAAAGCCCAATGCTTCGGCGGGCTTGAGCTGCTGTGTGTCCTGCGTGTTCGGAAAAGTTAAGGGTGCTCGAGTAGTGGATCCCTAGGTCACGGATGGTGTGGCAGTGGGACAATGGTTTACCATCTATAGTTAGCGAACCTGGTGTGATGTCACATCTGTAGGATACCACGTGGCATTTATCAGTAGAGAATGTCATCATCCATTTGGAACTCCATGAGTCTAGTGTACGTAAGTCGCGCTGGATTTCGCTAAGCGTATCCCTGACCTCAGTTGGATTAAAAGTGTAAACAATTTTGATGTCATCGGCAAACAGGAAAGGTTTGCCGGAAGCAAAGACATCAAAAATATCATTTACGTAAAGTAGGAATAAAAAGGGTCCCAGAACACTACCTTGTATCACACCACTGGTGACAGGCTTTGGCGTGCTTGTTTCGTGCTCGATCTGAACAACCTGGGTTCTATTAGTTAGGTAAGAATCAAACCATGAAAGCAGAGGGTTGTCTATGCCATATGCAGTTAGTTTGGATAAGAGGTGGTTATGAGGGACACGATCAAATGCTTTGTGCATATCTAGGTAGATGACTATCGCTGATGAACCGTCATCGAGCGAAGTAGTCAGGAGACTGAGAAAGTCTATCTGACATGTTATGCAGGATCGCGTGCTTAGGAAGCCGTGTTGTGAGGTGTTGATAAGATTTCGCGACATCATGAAGTCCACAGTTTTGGACTTTATGTGACGCTCTATCATTTTTGAGAGGATAGAAGTATGGCTTATTGGGCGGTAGTTTCTCATTTCATGCACAGAGCCTGACTTGTAGCGAGGAATGACTACAGCCGTCTTCCACTGTGATGGCACGGTACCGGTGTTCATGGATAGAGAAAAAAGATTCAAAAGTAGTACAGGGAAGTCAGATCCACCGTATTTTATAAGTGTTGGTGGTAATTTATCAGGTCCGGCATACCATGATGACTTCGTAGAGGTGATAAGCCGATTTATATCACGAAGTTCAAAATCAACTGTGCAGATCTTGTCATCAGTAAGCAGAGGGATAATGTGCGACGGAGCCGCAGCAGCGGTGTTAAAAGTAGAACAAAAGTAATTATTGAAATCCCTGCTTATTTTAGCTGGATTGTTAGTTATTTGGTTACCAGAAATCAGGATGGATGGGGTTTCTGTATTCTTGTTTCTATATTTCATCAGCTTGGTGAGTTCTAGGTTTTTATTCATGCTATTTAGCGCCCGTCTTTCTACGTCCATAAGGCTGATATGCCGAAGTCTGTCAAGTTGAGCAAGGATCTTTTGTTGTAGCAATACTAGGGAGAAGTCATTTGTTTTCATGTAGTAATTTCGGAGTCGTGCAAGTTTGCGTGAAAAATTTTCGGGGATGGACTCTAATTTTATTTTTTTGGAATGACGGCAATAATTCAGTGGTATTAGAGCATCTAGACACATCTCAATGTTCTTGTAGAACTCATCGGCTGCCACTTGTGGATCATTGGTTAGGAAGAAATTTTCCCAGTGCAAGGATCTCAGAAGGGCGGAAAGCGATTCCATGTGTAACAAATTGTATGGTCGGTAGAGGACGGCAGGTTTAGTCTGGGTAGGATCAGAAAATGGCTTATCGAAGGTGAGTTGGACCATCTTGTGATCGCTTCCAGGGAAATTGTCTAGAACAACAGCAGAAACGTTGGATAGGCCTAGTGTAAGGAATAAATCGAGAGTGTGGTTTCCCCTGGTGGGTGAATGGACATGTTGTGTCCATCCATAACTATGTAAAGAAGACATCAGTCTCGAATATTTAGTAGGTGCGGCGCACGATCTCCAGTCAATATCAGAGTCGATGTTCTCCGGTATCATACATGATCCGGCCCTTCTTCATACAGCTTTTCATCATCAAGCTGAATTTTAAGATCCATTTCGCTCTGCCCGTTGACAGATAAGCCTTTATCATTTTCTTGAACATGCAGTAATGTTCAATACATCTAATCTCTTTTGGCAGCTTATTCCAAATGGAGCCATACCTAAGAAGATAGAAATTTCTCCTTAGAGTGCACTTGAATTTAGATAAATAGAATATGCATTCATTCAGCAGATCATGTTGTCTTGAGGAAATTCTCCCCACCCTTTCTCCCTTTAGGTTTTGCAAGGCCTTTTATCATCTGCCTTCATAAACTTCAGATGTGCTGAGGACGCTCAACTTGGAAGTGTTGTTTTCGGCGTTGAGTCAATTTTGGCACTTCAAAAATTTTGAATGAGTTTGTGGAGTGGACATCGTCTCCGTGCCAACTCTCAACGTCTCTAAATGTTATGATTCCAAATTTGGGTTTCCTCATGCCAATTATCTGAAGCCTTCTTCCATTGTATATGATGGAACAAATTGTAGCCGATCCACCGGCGCTACCATAACCCGTTAAAATGTAGGTCGATAAGGATTTCTCTTATTTGCCTGACCCTTAGCTCCTTGTTACTCTCCGGCCCAATTTGTCCTGTCCTCTTTCGTGCTGCCTTCACCGCGTTCTTTAGATTGCTCCCCTACTACGTGGCTGTGATATGACAGTCTAACAGCTTACGAGGTACTAATTTTGTGTTGCAGCTTCTAAGATCTAATGCGAGATCCTGTACTATTTAAACGCAGAAGAACTTGAAACGCAAGACCGGAAGATTCTCACATAGATCCTAACTAGATCATTCAACCTCATATATCTAGGTACCTTTCAATCCAGAACTTTATCTTGGTCCAAGTTTATTAACCAACTATTTTATAGAGTTGAAAGGTTAATTCGACACTCCAAGAGTTAATTTTCGAAATGGATACTGCTGGTATTCACCCTCATTATCTGCACTGTTCTTTTATTTCCCAAGGTCTTCCGTTTGTATGGCTGATAAAGTGTGTTTCGGATGCAGTGAGTTATCTTGGAGAGTTTGCTAAATTCTTTATTAATGAGCGTCCAATGTACGTATCAAATTTTCTCTCAAGGAAATAAAGGACCCCTGTAGAGCAGAACTCAATTACTGATTGCTACAAGAACCAGTACGAACGAATACGGATACCGATTATTCATAGGTGAGAAGGTGGCCGAATGTACAGAGCTGTAATGAACTGAAAGCAGATTAGTAAGAGCGCGGAGCAAGGTAGCGCACGACTAAAAGATAGTTTGAAAGTAAACCGGAGGTACCATTAGTAAAACAAATCAACCATAGGAAGAGACAAACAAGAATAAAATGCCATGTCACCAAATACCATAAGCGTAACTGTTTCATGTTCACTACACATTTTTCACCAACTACACGAAAAGTTAATGGCAACCCACCAAAGCTTTGATGTTCTAGTTTTCCGCACTGCTTAATATTATAATTGTGTGTCTATGGTGTCTCTCAGGTTTACTTATTGATCTAGCGAAGGTGGCCGGTATAATGCTAGCCTGGATACCCTCGTGTTATCTGTGCGTTGTTCCCATTCATAAAACTTTTCATTTGCTGTCAATGTTATTTCAACACATCCGCAGTCGACAGTGTACAATACTAAAAATGCGCCCAACCGGAACATGAAGCTGATTTTGACTTGGTCTGATTTGACTTGACTTGAAAGTGACATTGACATGAACGACGGATGCCCCATGAGGAATTTTACCTCGTTGGATATAACCAAATGTTAGGCGGTGACAGTGAAAATACTGGTTGCCAAAATTGGCGTTGCGTAATATGGTGACCTATAAGAGCTCCGGGAGACCAGCGCATTTAACAATAGACGCAGTGTGACTTGTCGGATGACAGTAAATCCCACTGTTACCGGTAGAGGCAAAGATAAAGCGTATAACGAATAGCAATAATCACATGATCATGTGTTTATTACCCCGTTGTGAAAAATTGCCCCCGATGACTATCAATGAGGTCAGCGCGGAAAGTAAAGTAACTTAAATATAGCTCCGAGTCGTAGTCTGAGTGACGGAGGGTTCTTAAATAAACCAGTACTTACTCCAGAAACCGTTCAAAGGTTGATTTGTATCACGTAAGCTTTTCACAGATTTGTTCAAATGGTATCTCGAAGCATACGGGAAAGCACTGCATGCGCGAAAAGAAACGAACTTGTTTATTCTGAAGATGTGAACTAGGAAAAGGTGGCGATGTTAGGGAGATGTATGCAAAGTACGACCATTATCACATAGAACAGTGTTTTCCGAGTCATAAAAAAGGAAAAACTAAATTGTACACAAACGTATTTGGCTTTGCCAAGTCAGAGCAGGTCGGTTTGATCGCATTCCCCCACCCCAGTTAACGATCTTGATGTGAAACTGGCGACAGTACGTGTTGTCCTTACCTGGATAAACAGAAAGTCTAGGCCGGCAACTGCTTCATATTTTGTTCCACCTCATCCAGTTTCTGCTTGCAAGTTTATCGGGTAGAGCCAAGTAAAATTAGGCATTACAAGTGACTGTCGTGCCTGCGGTACTATTCTATTTTACCCTCGTACGTCTGACATTTGTGCGCCTTGAGAAAACCACTATTATCTTATGAAAGCCGTAACCACGTGTTTTTTGTGAGAAAGAAAAGAGTCACCAGTCAAGCTACTGCAGGGACCAATACCACAGTGGTCACCATAAGCGGTAATAATCCTACTCCTTGCAGTACACAGGACAACATTGGATGATATGGAATGTAGGACCGAATAAATGAACTTGAGATGTGAGACTTGTAAGGAAGCTTGGCTGCTGTTAGGCCTCTGGTTTCTCTTATGAATTCACTTCTCCTCTTAAGTAACCCACTTTCTAATCCGTTATCAGACCACCTACGTATCGCTGATAAATAAATAAACGTTTTATTCCTCAGCAGTGCGAGGCACAGACCAACTGGGTGGTCTTATCAACATGTGCAACTTGATCGCATAATATAGTTAATTATTCGTCTTTTGATCAATGGTTCCCATATGGGTTTTTGAAATGATTAGCAGTTTGGAAAAAGTAGAGAGATAAAGAAACTTGGAACAAAAATAAATGTAGAGTTTGTGGAAAGTTCAAGTAAAGTAACACGGTCATCCATGGAACTGTTTCTAGGGAACTTGCTTCCATGCAGGTTATTCCCACGGTGGGTTTCACCCGCACTTCCATGCTCCAATTGGCTCTGTGCCTGTGTGGCAAGATAGTAAATAGGCCATCAGAACTAGGTGTTAAATGTCTTTTTTGGGCTGCTTTATGCATACATTATAGGCGATGAAGCCTCAGCCCTTTCTGTCATGCGGATCAATCAATTATGGCACTTTTTTGTTTTAAGCCAGCGAGTCAGTAGTAATATGGTTTGCATGGGTATACTTTTTTAATTTGGAAGCTGTAATCCGTCGCCACAAGTGATCAGCCGATTCATGACCAACGGTGAAACAAAGAAGAAGATAAAGTGATTTCCGCTAACGTGCCTGGACGAGTTATTCGTTCACGTAATGTTATAGTGTTTAATGTCACAGATAGGCTATATATGAAGAAGCTGAAACACTTACTACTGGACACCATCGCGCTTCAAAATGAAGAGTGCTTTGTGGTCAGTCTAGAAGAAGAGCTTAAAACAAATGTGACCGGTGCTACTGAAATGCAAAAACACAGAGTGCTAAATTGTAACACGGAATATGTCAGTTATAAACGCGACAACCGAACTTAAGAATATTGTTATATGGTCAGATAAGACGCCACTTGAGCGGATACATACGCCTATTCCAAAGAAACAGAGTAACGCACCTGACCCCTCGCAAACACTTACAAACTGCATGTGACGAGGCTATGCAGACGAATCTTCTCTGCGCAGCTGACGTTCATGACTCTGTGATTGCGATTGACTGACCACTAACACAACCGATCTTCAGTTGCAATATCTCCCATCCAGCGATCTAATAATATCACAAATGGTACTACCCAGACGGAATTAGTGGTAACTCCGATACCATCCACAGATATATATAGAGGCCGATCTGGTCCTCAGCCTACCGTTGCCACAGATAGCACAAGCCTAGATAACATGACCAGCATCAGCGCCACATAGGATGCAACCTGGAAGCTAATGAATAGCAAGCAAATTCGTAGCTCCGTTGACACGCGCTGCAACTTTAATAACACCAACAAAGCCACTTCCACTAACTCTACCGAGCTAAGGAAGTCGGAACCTCAAGACGCACTCATCGTTTAACATACCTGATAATTTTCTGGCAGACGAATTACACAAATGTTAAAGGGGTATTATTATCAGCAATCAGGCTAACACAAAGACGAGCCGATTATCCCCACCTTATGAAGTTCTTTCTTTCTGATTCGTCTGACGTGAATCCCATGCTTAACCAGTGCGCTCAACTCCGCCGGCCGACACCGTATGGTTGGCGGCATCCGGATTCAGTTTCGCCTGTCACTGTGGCCAGCCACAGGACGCCTGCGCCTACAGAAGGACAGTGGGTGGCTTGCGCTGCACCACCCATAGTTCCACCCACACACCCCACATCCAGTGTAAACCCGAAGGAATAAGACCGGGAGGCATGCGGATGGGAGCCACGTTTCATCAACGGAGCCGGCCCACACTCCTTCACAGGCAAACACAAGCACGCTGTATTTGGGAATCAAACGCACACAAGGCGGTGACTGAACCGTAGTCCGCTCCAAACTGAGTGCATGGAACCACTCTTTGATCCTAACACGGCCACAAGAACCGTGCACCCCGTCCTCTCCAGCAACGACCAACTGTCTCCTAGAGGCAGTATGGACGAGGTAGTGGGTAATAGACAAGTAGGCACGTTGTCAACATGCACATCAAGCGCAGCCACACCGGGGATATCGAGCAACAGCCAATCACTTGAGAGAAAGCTAACAAAGAAAAGAAATCGAGTAATGCATAAGCAAACGTGACAAAGATCTTAAATTAATGAGCATATGAAATAAGTTGTTAACAAAGGATCCGAGATAAGTTCAGCGGGTCAGAAAGTATATTTTACAGAAATGACACCCGTAATCCCAGCACTAACCTTGTACCCACTCGTAAAACCCTCTCCAGTTCCATTTTGTCCTTTACAAGACAAAGTGGACAAACCTGGATACCTTACTCTAAGTGAGGTCACACAAAAGCTGAGAACACCTTCACAAAAATATAGGCCGTTAGGACACCGAAGGAGCAGCGAATGAACCACATCATACGGAACCCTCTA